TCTTCTTTATAATCCCCTAAGCAAAGATGCACATGACACTATTAAGTAACAGATAAATAAGTATTATTAACCCAAGCTACACGAAAAGGTTTTGGATGGGGCTCAGTCTTAAGGCCAAGTCAAGCTATTCCCTGACCAAAAATCACGTTCCTCTCACTTTCACTATCAATGACTAGTTTACAGGATTTATCTTTGCATTTCACAAAGGTGTGAAAGATACTATTCCTCTTCCAAGAGTCCTTAGGTGCAAGGATAGATAAGAGACATTGCATTACCCTAAGGTATCCTGACTCATACCCTTCTGTAATAATCTCTTCATCCATATCAGAACGGCACTCAACGGGATCTACTACTATATTAGGAATATCCTCAATAATCACGTCATCCTCTTGTGATTCAATAAGTAATGCACGTTATGGGCATTTTGATACTATATGACCCTTAAAATGGCACTTGAAATACTCAACAGTAGAGTTGTTAGGACGGTAACTAGTAGATTCATTAGGCTTCCTTATGTTGATCCTAAAACTAAAGGTTTCACCAAAAGGAAGTTGAGAGCTTAACTTAAGGGAAAAACCTATAGTTCGGTCAGTGGGAGGAAGGTTGTAAGTTTATTGAAACTTTGTACCTTGCATAGGGGGTCGCCTAACATAGGGGTACCTAGATAAATATTCTATCTCACAAGCTTTATAGTAAGCTTCCTCAAGAGTGTCAGGAAAGTTGATCTTGAGCTCTCTTTGAATGTCTAATATGAGCCCATTGATAAATCTAGTGAGTGTTGTCACAAGGTCTTCTTTTAGGTCACATCAAATTGTCAGGTTATCAAAATGGGATATGTAGTCAGAAATTATGGAGGTTTGTCTTAAATTAAGGAGTTGACCTAATAGTTGGCTCCTATGATGGGCCGACACATACGTTTCTTTTAACTTCATCTTTATTTCAGCCTATATAGTTATTGATGGTTAACCTTGGTGATCCAGGTTTCTTTGAACAGTCTGCTAGTATTTTCATGCGGGTCTAATGAGTTTTATTTTAGTAAAACGTATTCATTAGATGCCATTTATATCGTACCATTTAAAGTAATCCTCCATGTTAGCTAACCAATCTAAGAAAGTAGTCAAATTTAATGTACCATCAAATTTAGGAGCATCTACCTTGACTTTCTTAGTAATGTCTTCTACGTGATCACGTCTAAGGACATCTCGACCATACCTAAGGATTGACTCATCATTCCTAAAAGGGTCTCCATTCTAGAGATCATCCATATTTTCGAATTGGTGGGTATTAGGTCTAAGTGGGGATGCTCTACGATGGCTACTATTAGCATTTATGGAGAAATGATATGTATGAATGTATGGTACTCTCTATTGATCAAGTGTAAGGATAGGTTGGTTTGATATCTTACTACTATTAGGGTTTGGTAGTAAACCTTCCCTAGGGTTTGGATATAGGTCCTCTTTATCTTTACTTGTATTGGGGTGGTCTAAAAGGCAAACTGCATCTAAGGTTTCCCCAACCAAGGCTCTCAAGTCATCAATCTTAACATCATTCCTAAGAGTTAACTCCCTAATTAAATGGTCCATATACTTTTTAATAGCCCTTTCAAGGTTATGAAAGCTAGTAAGGGTGCTTTCATTGTTTTAGCTCATGGGATTTTATGGTTGTAAGTTCTTAATCAAACAGGTCTTGTTTATCAAGAATGTCTCGAATGGTCATGCAAAGTCAACAGGTGTTATACTATCATGTAGGGTTTAGGGTGGGTCTAACATCCTATTGGATAAAAGGTCCCAAAATTGCCTCCACTAAAAGGTGAAGACCCTATTTAACAAATTTAACCCTCTGGGAACTTAAAAGCTCCTCAGAGATTACACTTGCTAAATAAGTAACAACTCGAGTGAAGTCTTCACAGTGACCTCTAGGGGCCTAGAAACCCCTCAGGGAAATTGATGTAAACTTCAACTAAGTTAGGGTAAAATTTGACTCGGGTGTAAGGCCAAACTGTGTGTGAGGTAGTTGTATCCTAGGGTTTTAAATATGAATAATGCTGAATAATAAAGCAACAAATTAAAATTGATAATAATCAATCTAAGTTAAAAGAGCTCAATAATAAAGGAATGAAAAACTTAAAATTTTATGAAAAGTGACTTCTTCTTCTTCTTCTTCTTTTTTCTTTTTTTTTGGCCCTTTTTTTTTACTTTTTTTAATTTTTTTTTGCCCCTTTTTTTCGAGCATTGATCAAAGGAAGAATCAAAGGAGTAAAGGAAAGCAAGAAAAATATGAAAAATAATGAAACAAGAAAAGGGAGGGAATAAAACAAAATAAGAGCAAAAGAATGAATTATGATAAATGGCTTGAGATGAAGGAAAATTGAAATAGTCAAGAGTAATGGAGAAGGAATAAGGAAATGAAACAAGTAACAAATGAACAAAGTAAATACCTCTGTAATAATATCTAAAAGACCCAGAGATTAAAGTTTAAGATCAAAGAACCTTACTAAGTAACTTAAGGAGCCTTAAGTTATAAACTTATCTCCTAAAGCCTTTTCGTATGATGATTCTTGGTACTAAGGAGTTTGATAATAAAAGCAGAATGAGAACCTTAGCTCTGATACTAATTGATGTAGAACAGGGAAGGAGAAGGGGAAGAGAATATAGAAAAGAGAGAAAGGGATCAGTAGAGAAAATAGAGAGAAAAGAAGACTTAGAGGATAGGCAAGATAACAGTAATTCTTATTCAATCAACGTGCGTACAAATCAAATAAGTTAAGGTGCTATTTATAGGCCTCAACCCAATCCTAGAAATAAATGCATGAAAATCATAGATATTCTAAAATTAAATGAAAGATAACAATAACTAAAAGATAATAATAAATTTTGAAAGATAACAATAAAACAAAATATACATAATTAATATGAGAGTAAAATATCTTTGATCTTCTTCGATCTTCAAATCTGCAATATCTTTGTAATATCTTCACTTATTTCTTTTTAATTTTCTTCCCATCAAGTAAATTATCGGCTTTTATAGGTGATGAATCTAATTTTCACATTGATATTGCTTTTCATGAGTACAGAGAAAATTCTTTGAAGCACTCGTCTATGTACTTTTTCCCCCCATTTTAGCATCATAGATACTGAGATGGAGTCTAATAGGGACAAGGGTCCAAATTGGGAAGCAATTCACATATAATTAGATGTAATTGATAGGAGATAGAAAGAGTGGTATAAGTTGAGAGGTAAACTTAGAGGGGTATAACTCAATAGCTACAGAAATTAAAGCTTACGATGGTAGTGGGGTAAGGGAAATACAAGCATGCAAAGGAAACCCATTTTAAATAAGAATGACATTCATTTAAATTTGCTAAATTGCAAAACTAATTTTACCATTAAACTTCTCAATGTCAAACTTTGCAGCCAAAAAGATCATAAATTTTTTTCAATTAAGAACCTAGCTCTAATATCACTCATTGAAAACCACACAAATAATAAGCAAAAATAATAAACATGATAAAACAATTGAAAATTATAGAGGAGTTAGAGAAAATAATAAAAGATGACTCAAAAAATTTAACATTTGAAAACTCCAATGTAAGGGACAAAAAACCCACAAGCAACAAGTGAGGAAATTTAATATAGAAGATGAAATTACAATAATTGTTTCTACATGAAGCAACTTGAGGGATTTGTAGTTATTGAAAGAAAACATTTATAGTCACTTGAAGAAATATTTATATGGACTGAACCAAGCTTTTAGGCAGTAGTATAAAATGTTTGATAATTTTATGATTAAGCAAGGCTTCAAATAGGACCAGGATTAAAATTGGGGGAATGACAAACAGGTCCCAAGAGGACCAATTAATTCAAATTATGTCAAAAGTGTCAAATTTTAGGAATATACAAATTTGTCTTTTAATTTTGCAACTTCATTATGATAAATTTATAACTTATTTTTTAAATTTTAAGATAATTGAAGAATTAGATTAAACATGGATTAAGAGATGGACTATCATTTCCCAAGGGTACTTGAAATTTAATTTAAATTAATTAGTTTTCTTGAGACCTCTCTATCATTTTTTCATTAGAATTAGATCGGGATGTGATGGGACAAGGATTAAGCATGTCTTGTCTTGTGTATGCATATAAGTAATTTTATTTTAATATTCAGTTTTGTAAATTTTTTTTATTAAGATCCATAAGTCATATGGAGATAGTTTTAATTTATGGTTTTTTTTCTTGGTTGAGGTGGAATCCTAATTTTTCTATAGACTTGGAGGTATTATGCAAAGAAGTGATTTATCCAAGTCTTTATTATCGGTTGTGAACTTGTGATTATAAATATGGATGATTTAAATATACAGCTCTAATCTAGACTATTCATAGAGATTTTATTTTTCTTCTAGCCTTTGATTTGTGATTTTATTTCTTCAATTGGAGTTAAAATAGGAGTTATACGAGTTGGAATTCTCATATTAAGTGTGCTTAAGGATAATATACTTCACGAAAATAGCTTAAGTCATTTGGTTTGATACTTTCTAAGCTTATGTAGTTATGATTTGTCTTCTAATCTTTAGATTTGGGACTTTCTTTTATCTTCTACTATTACTTCTATTGCTCTCTCTCTCTCTCTCTCTCTCTCTCTCTCTCTCTCTCTCTCTCTCTCTCTCTCTCTCCCTCCTTTTCTTCTTCTTTCTTCTTGTTTTTTTTTCTGCTTGTAATAACCCATAATATAGTGATAAAATTAGAATAAATAATAAGATGAATTTATTTCATTTTATTAATTGTTGGAAAAATAGCAAGATGTGTGGGTAGTTTAGTGGAATTTAAACTCATCTTTGTTCTTGCCTATGAAGTTCCGTGTTTGAATCATGATGGAGAATGTTGTCATTTTTTTCATCCACACAAAATTACCAATTTTGCCACTGTAAAAAAAACAAAAGCAGAGAATAAATCTAAAATAAGACACGTATGGTGGCATTCTTTCCTTGGCTAAAATTCTCCAGATCCATCGACAGAGTGAGAGCTCCAATCTGTTTCATTTCCTCACCCTCTCTTTGTGATTGACACCGGCGATGGTGAATGAGCCTTACTCCTCCTCCTCCGTTCAAGTAGCTATGTGGATGTTTAAGAAATCTCCCTCCCTTAAATTTTTTCTTCAATTTCTCCAGAACCAATTAGGAGGCAGAGAGTGAGCTTGGTCTTTCATTCTCCGTGCTTCCTTCTCTGCCCTTTTTCTTGTTCACTGCTGCCAACCATGAGAGTACAAGAGTTCTATTCCTTCATCTTCATCCGAGTAGCAGAGGGAGGGTGCGTCGATCTACTCTGCATATTCTCCTTCATCTCTTTTTCTCCTTTTGTTTTTTTCCTTCTGTCGCTGGCAAGTGTGAGTGGAGGAGCAACAACTCAGCTCGTCGTCATTACAGACTTCTATTTTATCTTTCCCTTGCTTCACGATGCTGCCTTAAGGTGCGTGAGAATTATCTCTTGCTCCTTCTTGTTTGTTCCTGTATGTGTGTATGTAGAGGTTGAAATTGTAATCTCCTATTCCAACAGTGCTGTGTGCATTTAATGGCTTTTGTTATGGTTTTTTTCATTTTTTTAATTATCGTGAGTGTTGAGGTTGAGAATTGTTTTTTTTAGACTGAAATTGATTGTCTTTATTAAGGAATGAAATTGAGGAGGCTAATTGATTTTGAAAATTATATTGGAGAATTTTTGAGAAATGAAATTGAAAAGGAAGGACTTGGAATATTAGCTTAAGATTGACGCATGTTAGATGTTTGATAAAATGTCTGTCAGGATGTTTGTTTGAATATATATATATATATATATATTGAGATTTTACTAACTCTTATGAGGAATATGTCTTAGATTAGGTGTTAATGAGCCATGAACTTGACTTGAACCTTGCAAAGGAATTTAATGATGAAGTTAACAAATAGCTAGTTAAATTTTTAAAAGTTGTATGGTTATTGGTAAATTGTTGGACAAGTTGAATTTTTGGGAATTATATTGTTGATAATCTATAAATCATGTTGTTGTTTTATGACCTGATTTTGGGATGCATTGAGGTTTTTGATAAATTTTTGTGATAGAAGCATCTTTAGATTGTTAGAGTGATTGAATTTGGTGTGTGTATAGTTGGGTACACTTTGCTTAAAATTACCCTCTTTGTTTATTAAATGTGAGGTATTTTAGAATTATTCTCTTTTCTTCATGGTTGTTGCTGAAATTTTCATATTCTCTTTTGTATAAACAGTCATGCATGTATAAGGGAAATGTTGATGTTCTAACAAGCTTAAGTAAAGAACAAGAAGAACTTTGGTTGTATTTTAATTGATTTTTGACAAGAACGTAGGTTTGGAAAGAATAATAAATCTGTTTTAAATGTTTAGGATCATTAATTATTGATGGGAATTGGCTAGTGTTGAAGAGAAAGTGATTTGGGGAGTTTGGAAAAATAAGTATCGAGGTGATAATTCAAGGACCAAGTTTGTTTGTTCTTAAGTTAGTCTTTGAGTACATATAAAATGTTTATGAAAAGAAGATTATGAAAGTTGGATATGAATATGACTAAAAATGTTGAATAAGTCATAACAAGAGCTGTTTATTCTCTATAGAAAGACTTGAAAGCTTTGAGTTTTGTTTATGTGCGTATATGTCACATATTTATTTATTAATGCAACATGGCATTTTATTTGTGAAAGATCAATGCTGAGATTTTCTTTTTTATTTTCCTAAATTTGTTTGGTTGGAAATTTTGGGTTACAAAGTGTTAAAAGAAATGACAGTAATGTTCCTTTGGGAATTAGGGAATTCAGGCGTGGATAATATTACAAAAAGTGATTAATTAGGAGTAAGTTATATATTAGGAATGTCTCGGGTAAGTAGATAACGTCCCAATAAATTTTCTAACAAATTTCATTTTACTGCAATATTATTTTCTTAAATAGATTTCATATACTATTTTAAGTGTTTAATATTTTGTTAATTGTATTGCTTTAAACTCTTGAAATTGTAATTTGTATGGTGAAAAATAGTGGAATTATTATATATCTATATATGTTCATTGTAAAATATATCTTGAAGGTTGATGAAAAGTTTCACTAGCCCTAATAATAATCTTTTATTTGATGAAGGAAAATGTCGAATTAATGAAGAATTTTATATTGAGAAGAATTGAGGTTTTGAAAAGATTCATGCGAGTTTGACTTTGAGAATGGGAATTGGATTTTTATAGTAATGATTTTCTCACATGTTTGAAAATAAATTTGACAAGGATTTTATGCAAAACACTGGTTGCTAATGACAGTTCCATTAGCCCTTGGCGCTCTATAGTTAATGACTAGCTAGTTTGATTTTTGTGAGCTTTGTTCTCACGTTTTTAATTCATGGGTCTCGTACTTGCGTTTGTTTTCGTGGCTTCAAGCCGCGTTTGGTTATTTACCTTCATGGACTATGTGTCCACATTTGTTTCGTAGCTTTGGCTATGTTTGGTTACTTACCCTCATAGACTGTGTGTCCATGTTTGTTTCATGGCTCCGGCTGTGTTTGGTTACTTACCCTCATGGACTGTGTGTCCACGCTTGTTTCATGGTTTCAGTTACATTTGGTTATTTACCCTCATGGACTGTGTATCCACGTTTGTTACTTGTTCTACAAAGTCCTCGGATTTAATTGATTTGTGAAAATACACACACACTTTATTGATTTTAAACAATGAATATTATTATTCTCATTTACTTAATTTATTTTATTTTACAAAATCAAGTGTTAAGGTTTTGTCATTGTAAATTTACTAGTTTGGTATTTTTAAAGCTTGAATCTTGTAGTCTCCAAGTTCAATTATTATATTATTTTATTTTAATGTTCTCTTTAAATTATGCACCAATGTACTTGATGAATTTATTTATCTTGATTTTTTTCATTATTGGGATGTTATTAACTGGAAAGTATTTTGGTCTCAAATAGTGTAGCTAGCGCCGTACGTCCTGTTTACCAATGATGGATTTTTGCTAAGCTGGGTGAAGGTTTGTTATGTAAATATTTATTAGTTATGTAAATATGAAATTTAGCTATTATGTCATGAAGAATATATTTAGGTGCTCCACATAGATTATAGATAGAGTCATTATTTTATTAAATATTTTGTCAGTTGGTTAAAAAGGAGGGATAGTGATTTCTATTGGAGAATTTTATAGTAGATTTTTAGGGCTCATATTTACAGAAGGGATTCATATTTGTAGAAGGAGTTCTGCCCCAATATTTACAAAAGTATTGAGACTTTTATTTGAAGGAAAAACATTAAAATGTCCTAATTCTAACACAAATATAATTATGATTTTAAAAAAAATTAAAAATTTTATTTAATTAAGGCTTAAGGGATGTGGGTTTGAACACATCCCGTGCCGGTGACTCCCATTTTTCAGGATGTGACAGTGCTTCTTGCTCGAGCTTATACTCTTCTAATGTACTTTTTTTTTAATTCTTCCTCTCTATTTTTTTTAATCTCTTGTTTTTTTCATCTTTTGTTAGATATGCTTACTTAAACACAGTTAATTATGAATTCCAAGGTAATCAAGGGTCTAAACTCAATAAAGATTACCAAGTTATCACAGTATTACAAATGGAAGAAAAACAATTGCAATGAGATCCAAAGATTTTTTGACATTTAAAATACTAACATACACTTTCATTATGTCCAAATTAGTGTTTTAAAATAATGTAGAAGCTTGGGATTGAATAAAGAATCAAAGCCATTAATTAAAATCACTATGATGTGAATTATGCAGAAAATGGCACATTCACCATGGTTCACTGGAGATGCACTGTAGCTTATAAGTTTTTGTGCTATGCGCTGCAGTGCATTACATGATTTTGATAGTATTTTGCTGTCAAATTGACAACACTTGGTGAATTTTTAATGCATCCCAAATCTTTGTCTGATATCTGATTAAGGTGATTTTGGTATCTACAGAGATCTTTCTTCTAACTCTAGATAATGGCATAAATTTCACAACCAAACTCAATTTTTATCAAAAATTGGACACTCGAACCCATTTTCACTCCTTTTTCACAAAAACTCACCCAAGGGTGTCCAAACTCTCACACAAGTGTCAAAAGCCTATACCAACCATCTGACTATACAGAAGGGATCATTTAGAACTCGTGCAACACACCACAACCATACAAATGCATATATATAATATTTCACCACTCAACCCCAAATTTCATAAAACACAAGGGGGAGGAAAACTTTACTCATAATCATCAATATTTATACATAAACATCAAAATGCATTTTGCACTACTTGCACAAGTATTTTGGCCGGCCCTGTACAAGTTTTACAATTCACATCTCACTATCACAATGCATAAAATATACAAGATTTGCAAAATATTAATGCAAGTAGCTCAAAATCATGGAATGATTCCTAGTTGGCAAATTAACAACCACTACTACAAAAATGTGAATATAAGACACCATAAAAAATGACGGTCAAATAAAAACACATCATATATGAGAGAGGCGGGTAACGGTCAGAAAATAAATGACGGTTGTTTGTACACCCATCATATATTGTGTAAAATATAAATGACGGGTATTTAAAAAACCAGTCATTTATTTCAGAACAACGTTTCATTTTCTAGAAGGAAAAAAATAAAAAATAAAATTGCACTTTAAATGACGAGTATTTCAAATACCCATCATTTAAAGTTTAGACAATATATGATAGGTATACAAACAACCATCATATATTAGGGTCCACCATTTCAGTTTCCTAAAATAATAAAAATAAAAAACTTCAAAAATTTAAATGATCGGTGTTTCAAACACCCATCATTTAAAGTCCCACAATATATGACGGGTTCTTTAAATACCCGTCATATACTGTCTGCTAACATTTCAGTTTCTTAAAAGGAAAAAAATAAAAAAAATTTAAGCTTTAAATGACGGTTGTTTCAAACAACTGTCATTTAAAGTTCCCATTATATATGAGGGGTGTTTTAAACACCCATCATATATTCATGAATAAATGAAGGGTATTATTATACCCGTCATTTAGTCTCTTTTTTATTCAGTTTTCAGTCTCATTTTTCATTCTCGCCTGTTCGTCTTCTCAGTATTCTCTCCTCTCCACTTCTACACGAAATCGGTAGAAATCTCTCAATCTTCCTCCATTGTTGCCGTCGACCACCTTAGTTCTCTCCGACGTGCATGTGCTCCTCCTACACCATCCGTTGCCCCTCTCATTTACTTCCTCTTTGTGTTTCATCGTCTCTTCTTCAAGGTACAAGGGTGCATGATTTCTATAGTTTTTCTTCATTTTCTTCCAATATCCTTAGATTTCTAGATTATGGGATTGATTTATTTAATATTATGGGTTATTTTATTAGTTGATTTTTGTTGTTTAAATTTCTCCTCATTTGTTGCCCATTTTGATATTGTGGGGTGTCAAAAATTGTTGATATTTGATGTTTTATTGACTTGAGAATGATAGTAGATGATATACTTAGCCTTAAGATGATTATTAAGATAAAAATTAGTGATCAAAATGGGATATTTATGATGATTGTATTTTTCTATGAATTTTGATTGATTTACTTCAATAATTTGTAATTTAAATTCTGTGCATTGTTTGATCAAAGTAGTTTTATCATTCAAAACTACATATTAAAATGTACTAGTGTACCAATTTTCATTACAATTGGAGTTCATTTTAGTAGCCAAAACTGACGCGCGGTTTCTTTAAAAATTATTGCTATTTTATTGATATTTTTACATTTGGTAAAGAATGATTTGTTTTTGGCTTGGGATTGCTAATATAGGATATGTGTAATCTTAGAATGATCAAGGAGATAGAAAACATTGATTCAAAATGATTTTTATAGTGTTTTTCTTTTTTCTATGATTTTTGAACGAATTTTAGATATAATTTTATAATAATTAAAGTTAATTTGAAAATGCTATTTTGTGAGAATTTTGTTAGTTTTGTGATTGTATATGGTTGAAATTAGTGTGTTGAGTGAGATGCCAGGATTGAAAAGAGGGTTTTAGCCCAAGAATACTTTCTTTATGCCATTATGCTACTGAATTTTTTTCAACGGTTGAAGGAGTATGTGAATTCTCATGCATTGTGACTCATGATTCATTAATTACTCTATATTATATGTAGAGTAGTCAATTTCTTTATTGATAATCTTTCTATCATTTCTTTCCTCTCCATATTCATGAGTCACTAATCACATTTTCTTGAATGAATTGTCTTTTAGATTAAAAAGTTATGGATAAAGAATGGATGTCTGCCAATCGATTAAATAAAGAGTATTTGAATGGTGTGAAAGAGTTTATGAGGTTTGCTCTTGAGCATGTAAAAGACCCTAGAAGAATAGTGTGTCCTTGTGTAAGATGTGGTCTTTTGAAGCAAATTAGTGCATCTGAGTTGGAAGACCATTTAGTGTGCTATGGAATTGATGAAAATTACAAGTGTTGGCATAAGCATGGAGAGACTAGAGAGGATGAGTTTACTAGTAATTGGGAGTATAAAGGAAACGTTGAATCAAATGATTATGACACAGATACTTATAAGGGTGATTGTCTTGAAGAGATGGCCAATGCAATTGAAAGGGAACTTGAGGATTGTCTTGAAATGTTAGAGATGTTGAAAAGTGATGTAGAGAAACCCTTGTACGCTAGTTGCACTGAATTCACAAAGTTATCGGCGATGCTGAAATTGTACAACTTGAAAGTGAGCAATGGATGGAGTGATAAGAGCTTCACAGAAAATCTTACACTTATAAAACAACTTCTACTTGCGAACAATGAGCTTCCAAGGATTATGTATGAGGTAAAACAAATGCTACGCTCAATTGGCATGAGTTATAAGAAAATACACGCCTATCCTAATGATTGCATATTATTTAAAAATGAATATGCATCATTAATGAAATGTCCAAAATGTAATGCCATGCGCTACAAAGAGAATGGGAAGAGTCCAAAGAAGGCGTTATGGTACTTTTCCATTGTACCTAGATTTAGATGGTTGTACAGTAGTGCAGAGGATGCAAAAAATTTGACATGGCATGGGGATGAACGGATCAAAGATGGGAAGCTTCGACATCCAGCTAACTCTTCTCAATGGAAAAAAATTGATCTTGATTATCCTGACTTTGGAGTAGAAGATAGAAACCTTCGCCTCATATTATCTACTGATGGAATGAATCCACATGGGTTTCAAAGTAACAGTCATAGTACATGGCCAGTTATTTTGGTACAACTTACCTCCATGGTTATGTATGAAGCAAAAATATATGATGCTATCTATTCTAATTTCGGGGCCAAAACAGCCGGGAAATGACATAGACATATATTTGGGTTCTTTAATTAAAGATTTAAAATTGTTGTGGGAGCACGGTGTTGAGGTATATGATGGACATCGAGAGGAAAGGTTCAATTTAAGAGCATTGTTGTTTGGCACAATCAATGATTTTCTAGGATATGGTAATTTGTCAAGGTATAGTATCAAAGGAAAGTTTGGATGTCCTATTTATGAAGAGGGCACACATTCAATGAGATTAGAGTATGGGATAAAGAATGTCTATCTTGGATATCATAGATGGTTACATCCTGATCATTATTATCGGTGCCTAAAAAAAGCTTTCAATGGAAATTCAGAAGAAAGTAAGGAACCTTTGCCACTGATAGGTGAGCAACATTTTGACAAGGTGAAGAATTTGAATATCGAGTTTGGCAAACCTTTTGCAAAGCATCTTGGGACATGTGGGTAGAAGAAAAGGTCTATTTCTTTTACCTACCATATTGATAATCCTTATATGTGAGACATTTTCTTGATGTTATACACATTGAGAAAAATGTGTGTGACAGTTTGATTGGTACATTACTTCATATTCAGGGAAAGACCAAATATGACATCAAGGCAAGACTTGATATGATTTTTATAGGGATAAGGGAAGAGTTGGCTCTGCAAGAGAGGGGAAGTCGCACATTTCTTCATGCAGTGGCTCATACACTGTCTAGAAGAGAAAAAAAGACTTTTTGTGAGTCACTTGCTACTGTTAAAGTTCTAAAGGGGTACTCTTCAAATATTAAGGGCCTTGTGTCATTGAAGTATTTGAAGTTAAAGGGTTTAAAATCACATAACTGCCATATGTTGATGAAAAATTTTATTCCAGTGGCTATACTTTCTATTTTACCTGATACGATTCGAGCCATGATCACAAAATTGTGTTTCTTCTTCAAGTCTATATGTAGTAAAGTGATTGACCTAACAAAATTGCCAAGATTACAAAGTCGAATTGTGTTAATCTTATGTGAACTTGAAATATATTTTCCGCCTGCATTCTTCAATATAATGGTGCACCTCACTATTCATCTAGTTAGAGAGATACAAATGTGTGGCCCAGTTTTCTTAAAATGGATGTATCCATTTGAGCGCTACATGAAGATACTAAAAGGATATGTGAAAAATCGGAGTTGACTTGAAGGTTGTATAGTTGAATGATACATTTGTGAGGAGGCAGTTGAATTTTATACTGAGTACTTATCAAATGTCAACCATATTGGTCTTCCGACTTCTCGGCATGATAGTAGAACTGATGGAGAAGGAATTATGGGCAATAAAGTAGCTACAATCTCTAACTTACAATGGGAACAAACACATTTATATGTACTACACAACTCTGTAGAGGTTGAGGAGTATGTAGAGATGCACATGGCCGAGCTTAGGTTAGATAACCCTAATAGATCGGAGATTTGGTATGCAAACAAGCATAATAAGAGTTTTACAATTTGGTTGAAACAGCACATTCTTGAGAAGTTGACTGCCAATCCTGATTCAGTTTCTGAAAAATTAAAATGGTTGGCAAGAGGTCCAGATAAACAAGTTCTTTCCTTTACTGGCTATCTCATTAATGGGTACACATTTTATACCAAAGAGAAAGATGATCAGAGCACAATGCAAAATAGTAGTTGAACTCTTATAGCCTAAGCAATGCATATATCTAGTACTAAAGACAAAAATCTCTTGTAAACAAAAATGTCATACTTTTGGGTAATTAAGTATATTTGGGAGTTAGATTACATCAATTTTTAAGTTCCAATTTTTGGTTGTAAGTCGGTTGATCGAAAAAATGGTCTTAAAGTTGATGACTTGGGGTTCTTAATGGTGGATCTTAATCGAGAAGTTTATAAAGATGAGCCTTTTATTTTGGCTTCACAAGCTCACCAAGTGTTCTTTGTTCCTGATCCGGTTAAAATAAATTAGTCTATCATTTTATTGAGCAGTAAAATAAATGAAGATATGAATGATTCTACAGTTGAAGATGATCCCTTTATGGGAATATCATTTGAAAGTTACTTCATTGAGGATGAAGTCTTTTATATGAGAAATGATCACAATAAAGGTATTTGAATTTTAAAGAAAAGAGGTAGAAGCATTCGAGCAAAGAAGGAGAGCAAAGATAAGGAATGTACAAGAAAAAGAAAAAGAACAATTTAAACCTGTAGGTTATTTGTTTTGTGTGATTTAAAAATTTATTGTTATTTATTATGTGCTATATTTGTTTTGTAATGTGTGATTTACATTAAACTTGTAAATTACTTATTATGTGTTTTATTTTTTTATATTGTTATTTATTATTTATTTTTTTTTCTACTTTTGTAGGTAAATGGCTTTTCAAAGGAATCCTGGTCTCAATGGACCTAGTAGTGTTGATCCTAGCGTTGAGATGAATGACCAACAAATTTAGCAAGAAGCAAATCAAATAACAAGAAGATTGACATTGATGACCGAGGTGAATAGAAGAAGGGCTGCTGGACAGAAATATGAAGTTGAATGAAATTTCAAAGGTCAACCTATCAAGACCAACAGAAATAAATTCATCAACTACATAGGGGTTGTGGCAAAAGCAAATGTGCCGATTACAATTAGGCACTGAAATGATATTAGTCTAGCTACAAAAAATTATATTTGGGAGCAAGTAGAGGTAAAATACTTTACTCATATCGTTATAGTTAATTGAAATTACTTGATTGAACATTTAATTAATTGTTTTTGTTTACATTCAGCATTTGCAATTGATGCTAGTCAGATGAAATTTGTCATCCAATAAGTTGGAAAGGCAATGCGGACATTTCAGTATTTCGTGGGAGCGAAATACATTAAAAAATCAGGAGAAAACATTAGTGCTGAGGTCCCCGACTTGATAAGGCCATTAGTTTCACAAGAACAGTGGGATGAATTTATTGCTCAACGTCTCGAGGGACAATTTCAAGTAAGAATAATGAGATGAATTTCAACAGTGGCATACCTGATGATGATGTCTTGGGCAAGGCATTGGGTAATCCCGAACACCCTGGTCGAGTTAGGGGATATGGCTTTGGTATCTTGAAAAAACAAATATTTGGGTCACAGAAGAAAGCAAGGTGAACAGAAGATGTGGGTGCAAGGGCTGAGATTGCCACCCTGAAAGAGGAGCTATCTAGGCAACAGGACATGATTGAAGCTTTGCTAAATGACAAGGAGAGGCGGGAGGCAGAGTTTCATATTAGTCCTAGCGGGAAAGATAGTTATAGTGTCATGCAGCCTATAAAAATCTCCCTGAGGTAAAACATTATTAATTTATTTCACTTATGTTTCACTATTTCTATTTCCCATAACTTTAATATAGTATATTACTTATTAATATAGGGTGAAAGCCTATGTCAGTTGTTGGTAAATAGCCTGAATCGTCATGTGGTTGCTATCAATCGAGTGTTTAATTTGCCGGGAGACATGCTACATAATATGCCACTTTTTGCGTCCTATGTATGTGTTGCTATTGATGTGCTGAAAGATTTGAACTATCCGCTACCTATTCCTACTGAGGATGTAGAGATTGTTGGAGAGGCGATGGGTAGTTTTGTTAGATGGCAAGCTAGTCAAGTTAGGATGCTAAATCCATAAAAAAAACTAGCAAAGATGCACAGTCAAAAAAGAAGAAGATGATACCCCGATCTAGGCTCTCCTCTAAAAAGGCAGTCCCCCATAAAGTTGTGCCTAAACAAGAGCCTCAATTGCCAAGCCAACACAGAAATTTGCTCTAGACATATGCAACGGTTCATAGGTCTAATCCTCCAGTCCTACAAATTCCGTTTGAGGTTGGTATATATGGCGAAGACCGATATGATATGCTTTCGCTTGATGTTGTTGATGAAGTACTTCAACATGATATGACCAGTATCACTGTTCTCAGCTTCTACATACGATAATTTTTTCCATATATGAATAGTTAATATTTTAAATATAAACTAATCCATTTCTTGTATTTATAATAGGTGCTTGTATAATAAATTTGTTGTCCCTTTCGATCTACAAATGAAGTTAATCTTCGTTAGTCCTCATGAAGTGGGTGCACATGCCTTAATTAAAAGCGATAAAATTTTAGAACAAGCAAAGGCATTAAGCAAAAATTTCAAAGTAAGGGCTCGAAAGGGAACATTATTCATAATATCATACTGTCAAGGGTAACGAAATTCTCACTTATCTTAATAATTTTTTTTATTTTTAATTTAATGGATTAATTATAATTTTGCAACACTTGTTAATACTATTAAGGACCATTGGATGTTGATTGCCGCCAAGCCATTCAGCAACACTCCAAAGATATATTAACTCGATTCTCTTGGTGGGAAATTAGGGAAGAGACAAATTTTATTGGAGTTGATTAATACATAAGTGCATAAAGTATTTCACATATTTATTTAATTATTTAAATTCCATACTAACATATTTTTTACTGTTTCATTAAGACGATTGTGTTATACCGCACTAACACAAAACAATCAATTCTAAGGTCCTTTATAAATTTTGATGTGGCCTGCACTTGGAATATAATTAAGGTAATTGGAATCATTTATTAAATTAAAATTTAATGTATTAATACATATTCATCGATTCTTTAATTTTTAGTGTCTAAGACAAAAAAAAAAAAAATAGCTTGGATTGTGGCTATTGCATCATGAGATTCATGAAGGACATCATTATCCATAATAAGAGTAAAATTCTCGAGATGATATGTCAACAATATTAACTTTTAAATTACAAAAATATTTAATGTATTAAAATTAATATATGATGGATCATTTATATATTGCAGTACTATGATGATTCTTATGTTGAAGAATTCGGAGATGTAAAAATAAATGAGGTAATTGAAGAATGGTGTCAATACATTTTTCAAGTGTGGACCTTATACAAAGAAGATCAATAGAACTACCTTGAAGAAGTAGCTAGGAAGTTTATATTTTAGAAATAGTTTACCTTATGTAATTACATTTGTTTATTGATTAATTTTGAAATTGAATACAATAAATTTTGTTGATATTCAATTCTGGAATGGCTGGCTGCTACTATTTTGATTTCTTTTTACAGGGGGACTGGTATAAAAACAGCTCACGTAATAAAAAAAACCACATAATAAATGATGGTTATATAAATAACTGTCATTTATACTAATATAAATGACAAGTAACTAAGATACCCGTCATTTATCTCGACTTTAAATGACGGGTAACTTATTTACCCATCATTTATATTCCCATTTTGCTTGTGCTCCTGTATAAATTTTATTTTAAATGATGGTTTTTTAACCATCCTTTATGGTGGACTTTAAATGTCAGCCGAATAAATGACGCGTATTAACCATCATTTATGGACTAAAATAACCGTCGTTTATTCTTTTTTTTTGTAGTAGTGAACATTAATACACAAAAATTAACATAATGAGGCATATGATAGGAATTACATGAATCCTACACCTCAGCACATTTTCCTCGGTCTTGGTCCGATGAGTTAGGCCCTGAAAATATTGAAAAATGAGGGGGAGTACAACTACTTAATAACCGAGTTCTACCTAGTTTATGTAATTGCATATCAATTAAAAACAAATGCAATTGGCAATAAACACACATATTTCACACATTAGACAAATATAGCCACGGTCACAATAATAACAACCATGTGATCGAGCATAAAACACATATCATCATGTTTATATCAATTATGCACAATATGGGGTCGTAAAACTAACAACCATGCACCCTTAATACATGCTAAACTACAATAACAACAACCATGTGGTCGGAGCTACATGCATGATCAAATGTCGGCCTTATACCCTCTTGTTACCTCTAATATCAAACTGGTGGCTATTAAGTGGCTACGTCCTCAACACAAACTAACCCAGCCTTTCACTTGTGAGGAGTTACTGATTCAAGGTTAACTCACTCACTTATGTACCATGGTTTTCTCCAATACCAATAACCATGGGGTGTTGTATCCCTAATCTAGCCTTCTCATAAATCGGTAGAGACTAGTTGAAATATCCAACTTAATTAAACACCATTAAGAACTTCAAATCCATTGTAATCAAGAGAACTAATAAAGAGATAACCAAGTTAAAGTTTCAAATAAAGGGATCCCAAATTTTCATAATCCAATTCAAGCCAAAAACATTCATTAACTCTTTAATTAGAGTAAAATCAAGTTACGGAAGCATGGGATACCTCTAAGAAATAAAAGAAATTGAAAACAGTTGAAAAATATCTTGTTTGTTGGAAAATAGGCAACATGCTGCAGCTCGTGCACTCTATGCCACGTGCTGTGGCTCAAGCACCAATGCGCTATGGCGTGTTGCACATAAATGACAGCAAATTGCTATCATTTGGTGGCAAAATCAGGCAACTTCCAACATATCCCGTTTCTTCGTCCGATATTCAAATGACATGATCTAGGTGTTTATAGAAAAATAATTTCATAAACTAGCTAAGGGCATAGGTTTCACTTCCAAAATAAGTCAAACAAAGAAGTTGAACATCCAAATATATTTTTATCACTTTTCTCAAATTTCACATATAAAAGGGTGTCCAATCCTAAACAAGTGTCAAAAGCCCTTCGTAACACCCAGACCATAGTGATTGGACCTAAGAGTACTTGTATGACACACCACATACACAAAAACAACATTATATCTCAACCTCTTAATACCAAAAATAGAAAGGGGAGGCAATTTGCATTGTAAATCAACATAATATCCACCAATGTAATCAAATGAACAATTCTACACTTGTACTATTATTTTATCCCTATCAACATTTACAATCTATCATCTCCAGCAACTCAAGGCCCAAAATACAAATCAAACATTATGGATAATCATTTAATGCAAGTGTAAACAAAATGCATCCTAAAATTTGGCAATGTTAATCTATTACACAATTTAATTTGTTAAACGTAGAGGCATACAATAGGAATTCACTAATTCCTAAACCTTTTAAGCTTTATCCCTTTTTGCACTAGAGCTAGAGCCTCTAAAATGTTAAAGGAAAAGGCTGAGTCTAGCCACTCAATAATTAAAATAAGTATATCTTATGCAGTTATATATTAATTGAAATAAACACAAAAGTTTGAAACAAGTTTTCTCAAAACATATAATCACAATAGCTCATTCCTCAATTAACCCGTTTCCTTTTCAATCACACAGTACATAGCCACAAGACATTTAGACATGTGACTATGACTCGATATAACAACATGACTTGCCACAACTTAACATGTGACATGTTATATAATCTCATAAGCAATGATCAACCATCCTTATACTTTCCTTATTTCCTTTGACTGAAACTGTGGGTTACCACACTAAATAGGGCTTCGTCTATGTGATTAGACTACCCAAGCTCACCAATTGTGAGGTGTAACCCAGCAAAAGATCACATGACTCACTTTTGGGCAACTATTTTCCCGACTCTTGAATCTTTAGGGTGTCGTATACCCTGAGCTAAACTCCTCGATAAATTGGTGGAGAAAGCTAGGTTTGAGTCCCTCGACAAACTGTAGGATAGGGCTATGCCCTTGTGCACCGAAGGACAGTTGAAATACCATATGAATTTTCTCTACTCCTCTCCCTAGGTGAACTCCCATCTACTGATCATGTCATGTATGATGCTCACTCATTTTTCACAATCTCATTTATTCATTATCAAAATCAACATGATAGGCTCACGACCATGCACTACCCAAGTGAGCATCATGTCTCATTTTTCACATATATTACATAAATCCATCATTTTAATCTCACATATTCATCTTTATCAAGCTCATCATCAATTGCTCAATTTCAAACCATATAGCAAAGTGCAACTCATTTCAAAAATCATTTTTGCAACTTTAAAATATCATTTCGTAATCATTTTTGCATTTTTAATTCAAATCAAAGCAAATATGCAAATGCATGGTTATATAGTAGGTTACACATATTCACATTTCACATTTCACATGCTAACACACATTTCACATTATACTACAATTAACATACAACTACCTAAAGTGAGATTTCCCCGGTTATCTCAAACCTTTGAGAGGTCAAAGATTTACCCCTCAATATTAAGCTTCCAAGCTTAACTTTCCCAAGCCAAAATGGTGTCTGTGAGTTCAATCTATAATTAACCAATTTAAACTTCATCAACAATGACCAACACATATTCCAACTCTCATTTTTCACATCTAGATTTTCCAATGCTCACTTTGATTATGTTTAGACCTAACCTATTGAGTTTACTAACTACCTTTAATCTCCAATAACATTAATAAACCATTAAAATCCCATTAATGGCATTACAACTCTTCCAACAACCCTCATAAATACCAAATTTTGGATATTTATGAGGTCCACCAACTAAAGGTATCAAAACTCATTATTTCTAGGGTTAAACACTCAAATCAACTCCTATTAACTCTATTAAGTTAATGGATTCAGACCTATAATCTATATGGATTGAAAATCATCTCCCATTATCAAACCCTAACCCAAAAACTTCATAAATGTGGAAGAGATAGGGAGAAATGGAGTTTAGGACACTTACCTTAAGTATTTATAGCTTCAAAATGTCTTCAATAACATCTAAGTATAAACCCCAGTAGAGATCAACTTGTCCTCTTTGCTTTCTCCTTCTTTCTTTTGTGTTTTTTTGCCTTAATTTGCAACTAATATTATGCAGAAAGGGGCTATATACCGCGGCACACGCAACATGCGTTACAGCACATGACACAGAGAGGTCTTACTTTTTGTGATCATTTGTGTGCCATGGCAAACATGCTACACGCTATGTCATGTGGCATAGACATACTTTCTTTACATTTCCTCCTTCTTTCGATGCCCAGGTGGCTCGTCTTCACCTTGGACCTATAATTAGGTTGAAACACAATCAAATTCAATCATTAGACCTCCCTGGCCACACACCACATCAATTTACTCAATTATCATCATTAAACTTGATTAATCCCTTATTATACTAGTTAGGTTTGAGTC